AAAAGAAAGAAAAGAGGGGCCTGGGGATATAGCTTAGTTATAGAGCAATTGCCTAGAAAGAAAAGATGGCCAGAGATATAGCTTAGTAGCATAGTGCCTGCCTGGCAAACACAAGGATAGAAGAAAATGACATGATATTGTGAAGTACCAAAGTAAATAACTGTTCAGAGCCCTATACTCGGAAGAAATCAGAAATGAAGGTAAGATAAAGACATCCTCAGAAGAAGGAAAACTAAGAATTTATTGCTAGTCAGGCACGATGGCACACATCTATAAGCCCAGCACTCAGAAGCTGAGGCAGGAGGATCTCCACGAGTTCAAGGGCAGCCTGGGCTACATTGTTCAGGAAACTGTCTCAAAAAATAGAAGCAAGGGGCTGGCCAAATAGCTCAAAGGATTAAAGCGCCTGCAAGCAGGTACAGGGACCCAGAGTTTGCTCCCCGGGCCTACTGTGCCAGCCCCGTCCCCAGGGCGTGCTGAGAAGGCAATTGAAAGTGGGCATTGTGGAACACACCTGTAATCCCAGCTCTTGGGAGGCTGTAAACAGGCGGATCACTATGAGTCTGATCTAGTAGTGAGACCCTCAACACCCTGTAGACCTTTCCCTAAAATATAGAAAAAAAAAATAGAAGCAAATATAAACAAAGGGTTTATTGCCAGATGAGCAACCTGAAAGAATGGTTCAAGAAAGTTTTGTTTTTATATATATCAGGGATCAAACTCAGGGCCTTATGCTTGCCAAGCAGGCGCTTAGACCTGCTGAACTATCTCCCTGACCCTCAAGGAAGTTCTTTTTTTTTTAATTTAAAAAAATCGCTTATTTATGTATTTGGTGCAGAGTCTCACTACACAGCTCGGACTCAGTACTCCTGTCTCAGACTCCCCACTGCTGTAATTATAGGCGTGTACCACCACGCCCTGGTTTTGGTGGCCGGCACAGCATGTGGTACTGGAGATCAAACCAGGGTCCTTGAGCTGACAAGATAGCTCAGTGGCCTAAAGTATCTGCTTAGGCATGCTTAGGTAGGCGCAGGGGATGGCAGCTCAATCCCTGGTACCACATGCTATGCCGGCCCCATGCCAGGCCCACCCTCAAAGGGGCTGAGCTGGCAAACAAAAACAAAAACAAAAAAACAGCGTCCTTGCGCTTGTCAGGCAGGCCCTTAGCCTCAAGGAAGTTCTTTTTAGAGAAAGGAATGATAAAAGAAGGAATTTTAAAGTATCAGGACAGTAGAAAGAAAAAAGGAAAACAAATACATGCTAAGAACATATTCTACTTTCCTGGGTGTGGTGGAACCTGCCTTTTTATAATCCCAGCACTTAGGAGGCTGAGGCAGAAAGGTCACTGCAAAGTCAAGCCCAGTTTGAATTACATATTATGATTCTGTCTCAGAAAATCAAAACCAAATAAAATCAAAACAAAAAATCATAATTTATCACAGAGCCACACCCTCAGGCTTATACAGTTGAAGCAATTTTTTTCTTTGTGTGCTGCTGAGTTGTATCCTCAGGCAAAGCAAAAATGTAGCACAATGTAATTCTAAATGTATACGTGGGAAATTTTTAAAGGAAATATATGATAAATGTGAAGCGTAAGCATCACAGAAGGAAGAAGGTAAAATGACAGCATTAGGTTGTGACCAGACACACGAAATACGCAGAGCAATCACCAAAAAATTACGAGAAGATACCTTCAATAGGTAAATCAAAAGGGATTCCACAACACTCCTGGAAATGTTTACATCCCAAAGAATAGCAATAAAAAGTCCCTGATTATATGAATAACTAATTGAACAGATAAATGGGGCAGAAGAGAAATCTGCCATGTAGAATCCCAAATAATTTATAGATTATCTGTCACTCAGGCAGCAGAGCAGGACTCCTCACCCTAGAGACAGCCTAGGGCATTCTTCCTTAGTCCCTGGGGCAGGAGGCAGGGAGACCAGCATAACTTCATGGGGAGAAGCAGAAGAGCTCAACTTCAACCTGGCTATCAAGACTGGCGTCAGGCCAAAGTCACATATGTGCTCTTGGTGTGGAACAAAAACGGAGCTTCACCTGTGCCGTCCTCGTCCCTAAACCCACCACCCCAGAGTAAGAAAGAGAAAAGCATCACATCATTCAAGTCTCACGGGAGGGACTTCCTATAAGACGCTTATCACCCGCTGTGGTGGCACTGAAGCAGGAGGGTCGCTATGAGGTCAAGCCTGGCCTGAACTACAAAGCAGCAAACAAAAAGGATCACCCAGAAATCAGAAACAGCGGCGACAGGGTTCGATCCCATGCGTGCTGTGCCGGCCCCGCCCCTGGGGCGAGCTGAGATGGCGATTGTGGTGGCTGCTCTTGGGAGCCTGAAAACAGGAGAATCACTACGAGTCTGATCTATAAGTGAGACCCTGTAGACCCTGTCCTAATTTCATTAAAAAAAAAAAAAAAAAAATCAGAAACATTAAACAACAGGAAAATCTTCAAATCCATGGAAACTCAGCAGCATAAAACCCTGTGATGCCGGTAAAGGAAGTGTGGGGTCTAAATAGTGGACAGACAGCACATGCTCGTGAACTGGAAAACTCAACATGGTGTAGATTCTCCCTACACTGACGCACAGATTTAATCCCGTGCCTATCGAGAGAGCAAAGGCACAGTGGTGCATACTTGTAATTCCGGCTATTTGGGCTGCTGACAAAGGAGAGTCACACATCAGAGGCCCGCTTGGGCAATTTAGTGAGACTGTCACCAACAAAATACAAAAAAAAAAAAAAAAGGCCGGCCAATAGCTCAGCAGAGTGAAGCACCTGCTCAGGCAGTTGCAGTGGCCGTGCGGTGCGCGGCACTTGGCCCCACCTTGGGAGCACACTGACACAGCGATTGAGACTCGACGTGGCGGCGCGCGCCTGGAATCGCAGCTCTTGGGAGGGGGAACCCAGACGGATCACTACGAGTCCGATCTGGTGGTGAGACCCTGTAGACCCTGTCCTAAAACTAAATAAATAAATAGTTAATGCCAGCATGGGCCAAGGCCCTGGGTTCAACCCTTAGTACCACAAAAGCAGAAAGTAATTCATCTGTCTGATGTGAAGTCTTCCTATGCAGCTAGAGCACCTAAGACCATGATATGGCTGGAGGGACCAACAAGTAGATCAATGAAACAAAGCAAAGAGCTCAAAAGCAGATCCACATAAGCATGTCTAACTGATAAAAAAAAAAAAAAAAAAAAAAAAAAAAAAAAAAAAAAAAAAAGTTGCCAAATAATGAAATAGTAGAAGACTAGACTTTTTTTTTTTTTTTTTCAATGTTGGGGGTTGAACCCAGGACCTTTACATTGAGCTTCAAGCCTAGCCCTTCTGTTTTAATTTTGAGTTAGGGTCTCACTAAACTGCCAAATTGCCCAGGCTGGGCTTGACTTTGTCCTCCTGCATGAGCCTCTCAGAATGCTGAGATTACAGGCATGTGCCATCACATCCAACTCCTTTTTTCTTCTTCCTCCCCTGCCTCATCTTCCTCTACTTGTTCTTTGCCTCTTCCTTTTTTCTTTCTTCTTTCTTTCTTTCTTTCTTTCTTTCTTTCTTTCTTTCTTTCTTTTTTTCAGTACTAGAGACTGAACCCAGGGACATTCTATAAAGACTTAAAAATATTTATTTATTTATTGAGATGGGCTTTCACTAAGTTGCTCAAGTGGGACTTTCCATCTTCCTGCCTCATCCTCCAAGTCCTGGGACTATGGTTGTGTGCCGTTGTCCCCTCTAAGAAAGACTTTTCAATAAACGATAGCTGGAGCAATTGGATATCCATAGGTTAAAAAACTCTCATATCTTATTTAAAAATTAACTCAAAATGCATTATGAACTGAAGTGTAAAAATGTTACACATTGGAGAAGATCTCAGGATTTTCTAAGCAAAGAATTCTTCAACTTGACCCAAAAGCACAAATGGATAAAAGGAAAAACTGATCTTATTCACAATTAAAAAACTTTTGCTATATAAAGACTCTATTAAGAAGAAAAAAAGATCTGGGCATGGTGGCACATGTCTGTAATCCCAGCACTCAGGATGCTGAAGCAGGAGGATTGCTGGGTATTCAAGGCTCACCAAAGCTATAATGTGAGTTCAAGGCCAATCTGAAATCTGAACTGCATAGGGAAACCCTGTCTCAAAAAAAAAGAGCCAGCCAGATAACTCAGTGGATTAAAATGCCTGCTTAGGCAGACTGGACCGGGTTCTATCTCTGGCATGCCATGCCAGCCTTGCCCCTGGGAAGTGCTGAGATGGGGGATTGAGACTGAGCATGGTGGCACACCTAAAATCCCAGCACTTGGGAGGCTAAAAACAGGAAGATCACTACAGGTCCAATCTGCATAGTGAGGCCCTGTAGACCCTGTGCTAAATACATTAAAAAAAAAAAAAAGCCCACATAAACAAACAATTTGGGGTCCAGGAAGATAACGCCGCCTGGCAAGCGTAAGATCCTGAGTTTGATCCCAGGTTTCAAAAAAAAAAAAAAAAAAAAAACCCAAAAAACAATTTGGCTATAGGAGCTGGTGCTCTCCAAGTCAGCATACTGTTTTTCAGTATTTTGGCATTTTGTTTGTTTGTTTGTTTGGTTTTTGATACAGGGCTTCACTATACAGTTTGGACTTGTAGTGATCCTCCTGTCTCAGCCTCAGCACTGGGGTTATAGGCATATGCCCCCACACCTGGTTTTGGGGCCAGCATGCATGCGGTACTGGGGAGCAAGCTCAGGTCCTTGTGTTTGCCAGGCAGGTACTTAGACCACTGAGTTATCTCCCCATCCTTGTTTTTTCAGTATTTTGAATAAATGAGATATGTTCCCCACCAGGCAATTGGGTATGGCCCAACCTCTGCTCTGGTCTGGGGTTTTCCAATGAGAACGAGGGGCAGTTCAGTTTTCTGCACTCTGATCAGAAAGGCTGTGGGCACTACTGGTGCGAGAGTGCCACATCACCCAGCACCTCAGCCTCCCCCATGGCTTCTACTTGCAGCGAAGACCCACCTGGATACACGCACTGACTCCAAGAGCAGCCTGTGGGATAAAGGATACTTTCCCCTGGAAATCCGGAAGCTTGAGATGAAAGACTCAGGGACCTACATCTGCGAAGTGGATAACAAGAACATGCCAGTGGAGCTGCAGGTGTTCAGATGTGAGTGGGATAGGCCAGGATGCCACACTGCTAACAGGCCAAAGACAGGGCCTGTTCTGGGGATGCTTTACAGCCTGCAGGAGGGCTGGGCTAGGCACCAAGGGTCCTATGCCTTCCTCAGGCCTTTAGTCATGGAAAGAAGAGAGAAAGGGCTAGAGAGAAGGAAGGGAAAGGGGTGGAACTAAGGAAGGATGGAGAGAGACTGGGGAAGCAGGGGCAGGGGAAGAGAGGAGAAAAAGAAGGAGCAGGAGGGCCTGTCCTGGACTAGGGGTGGGTGGCAGGGTGCTGGGAGGGAAGGTACTGTGGGGACAGGACAGTAAAGAGATTCTCTTGCTTTCTTGTACCCTCCTTCTTGGGGATGGTGGGTGTGACCCTGGTTATCTGCTCCCTCCACAGTGACTGCCAGCTCGGGCACTCGCCTGCTTAAGGGGCAGACCTTGACCCTGACTGTGGAGGGGCCCCCGGGCATCAACCCGCCAGTCAAGTTCATGGACCCAAGAGGTCAAATTTTCGAAAGGACAAAGACCATCTCAGTGACAGATCTGGAGATCCAGCATAGTGGCAAATGGAAATGCACCATCTCCCAGGACAAGAAGCTGCTCCAGTTGGACATCGACATCCTGGTGCTAGGTAAGGGAGTCTCACTCTGAGTGTTCTGCCAGCTCAGGTGGCTCCCAACCCCTCTGCACACACTGCTGCTGTGGGGTGGGGTTAAGGCCAGGGCCCAGAAACCCCTAAGGCTGAGGGCTGACCTAAGGGACAAGCTGGGCCTCTCCCCTCAGGGAGCTGATTAGAGCCACCCCTCAGGGACCTCTTCTCTTCGTTGCCTTGGCTCCCTGGCCTTACCAAGCTGGCAAATCCACTCAGGGACACTGGTGACATTTGACACTGCTCCTCTGTGGTCCTGGGCTTGGCACTGTGGGTAGATCAAGCGCCCAGGTGGCACCTCCAGGTGTGGCCTAAAGCAGTGCAGGGCAGCACAGCGCATGGATTCTGACTTAAATCCTGACTCTGCCACAAATGTGTGACCCTGGATGAGGCACTGAAAATGTGTGCCTTGGTTTCTGCATCTGACAATACCTACTTGTACTGACAACTGGTACATGGGATACACCCAGGACAGGACCTGTGCCCTGTGTAAGTGTTGGCTCTTGTCAGGCATCTTGGTGAGCACCTGTAATCCCAGCATTTGGGAGACTGAGGCAGGAGGATTGCCACAAATCAAGTCCAGCCTGACTACATAGCCAGATTCTGTCTCAATAAGAAAAAAAAAAAAAAAGGAAAGGAAGGAAGAAAAAGGTGTGTGCTGGGAATTACGCTCCTCAGAGGCCTAGGCCAAATGGCCTCTGCAAGGCTGTTCAATAAGGGCTCCCAGGAGCAGGGTGGGAGCTGCCCGGGAGCAGAAAAGTGCTGGGCTGGCAAGATGGTGCAGAGGGAGGCTGCAGAGGCAGGAACAGAAGCACTGTACCCACAATGCTGAGTTCCGTGTGTGGACTCACGTGGCCCCTTCGTTCTCTGCTGCCCCTGCCCCACTGGCCAACCTGCCTGCATGCCCTGCTATCCTCTCTTTCCCTCCCTTTCCTCTTCTAGGTTTTCAGAAGACAACACTCAGCACCTTCTACAGAAAAGAAGGGGAGTCGCTGGAGCTGTCCTTCCCACTGACCTTCGACAATAAAGACCTGGTCTTCAACGGGAGGCTGAGCTGGCAACCAGACGGGGCTTCTTCCTCTCAGTCCTGGATCACTTTCTCCGTGGAAAACAGGAAGGTGTCTGTAGTAAAAGTCATCCAGGACCCCAACCTCCAGATGGCAGAGAAAACCCCACTGAACATCAACCTGTCCCCAGTCTTGCTCCAGCATGCTGGCTCTGGAAACCTGACTCTGACCCTGCCTGAAGGCCATATGCTGTACCAAGAAGTGAATCTGGTGGTGATGAGGGGTGAGGGGCTAGAATGAGAGGGGGGTGGGAGCCCCAGTGTGGGATGACTTCTGAGGCCAGCCAGGTCCCCAAAAAAGATGCTGAGGTTGTCCAATTGAAATGATCACATGCCCTCTGGGGTGGAGCTGCTTTGTCTGTCTTTTGGTGCTGGGACCAAACCTAGTATCCAGCACACTCCAAAGCTAACAAGAAGGGCTCTAGTTCTGCCTTTACCCAACTCTGACTAAGCATCCTACCTACTGTGGACCTGTTTTCTCATCTTTCTTCTAAAAGAGATTACAAATGCTCTTTGTATGCTAGAAGTGATGGGAATAGCAAGATTGGCGCTGAGGCTTTTGAATGATCCCCTATCATCCTCACATCACCACACATAACAATGGCTAACACTGGGTGCTTACCTACCTGCTAGTGCTCCCCTCTGAACACTTTACGTGAATTCTTGCATCAAATCACTGTCCTAGGATCAGGTTGTTAAGTACTTACGCAGAAATGCACAGATAGTTAAGAAGTAGAGCTGGTTGGGATTCAAATCCAAGACCATCGGACCCCTAACAAATACATGAAAAGGATCACTTTGCCTGTTCTCCTGGACCCCTCAGTGCTTAGAGGACCCCATCTCAGCTTCTTTTTTCCTCTGCAGCATCTCAGAACCAGAACTCTCTCATCTGTGAGGTGCTGGGACCCACCTCCTCAATGCTGATGCTGAGTTGGAAGCCAGAGAACAAGAAGCCCCACATTTTGAAGCAAGAGAAACAGATTCAGGTGCTGTCTCCTGAGCCAGGGACATGGCAGTGTCTTCTGAGTGATAGGGGCCAGGCCCTTCTGGAGTCCACAGTCGATGGTGAGGATCCAGGTGGTGAGGCCTGACCCTGAGTCTTGGCCTCCTGAGCCGTGGGACCTTCCTGGGGGTGGCAGAGACCACAGTCTCAGCCTCCTGGTCTGGAAAGGGCTGCATGTATGGTTGCCTGGAGACACAGGCGGTATAGTCCTGGACTACAGGTTCCCTCTTGTAGCCCTCTGGGGTCCTTAAAGCCAGAAGGCTAGGGAAGGAGCCTCCAGCCCAGGAGCACCCCTGCCTGCCCACAAACTCAGACACACCCTGGCCTGGGGTCCGGACCCTTGCTTCTCACTTCCCAGAGTGCTCTCAAATCTGAACCATGAAGACCTTCCCAGCCTTGTGCACTTGGTCCCCAGGAGTAGCCTTTGAGAACTCTGGACTGGGACCCCAGTCTGCCCCTTGAACCCAACACATGGCAGAGTACTGAGCACCCCCTGTTCTGCAGTGGTTTCCTCACAGCTGCACCAGGACCAGTCAGTGTTCCTGGCGATGGTCCTAGGGGGCAGCCTGGGCTTTCTGCTCCTCACCGGCCTCTGCATCTTCTGCTGTGTCCAGTGCCAACACCAACGGGTAAGTGAATCCTGAAGACCCCATTTCCCACTGAGCCCTGAAGCACCCCGGCCCTGCCCAGATTCCTTGTGGAGGCAAGAAAGAGCAGAGTAGATCCTAGGACAGTCACTGCAGCCATGGTGATGCTTCTCCTCTCCCAGCTTCCCCTACTCCCCCATCCAAGGGGCACCTCCCTTCTGGAGGCCTAGGACCCTTACAACTCTCCTCCTTGTCCCTGGACAGCGCCAGGCAGCGAGGATGTCTCAGATCAAGCGGCTCCTCAGTGAGAAGAAGACCTGCCAGTGCCACCAGTAAGGAGGACAGAAGGGGAGGGGGGTGGGCAATGGGTGGCCTGAGGAAGTGAAGAGCCAGCAAGTCAGGAGAGTCTCTGGTAGCCCCTGTGGAGCTACCATTGCCGTGGGAGAACAAAGTAGGGTCTGGGAGCCACAGTGGTTCCAGGTACCAGAATGCTGAGGGGCTGAGGGGCTGGATTTGCTTTTCTTTGTCTTCCTCACTGCAGCCGGCTGCAGAAGACTTGAATCATCACTTGAGGCCTTGAGTCGTTCCCAGCTGTACACCCCATGTCTCCTGTTGGACCTGCAGACCACATGAATGTAGCAGATCCCAGGGCCTCTGGCCTTCTCTTGTTCCCCTGCTGCACCTCTTGCCATTGTTTCTCCTCCGCTCCCAGCCTGACTGGGCTCTTAGGTGTATATTCAGGCTTCAGAAGTTAAACTCACAGTCCATTCTCCACAAGCCCTAGCCTGCCCAGCTTTCCAGGACTCCCTAGCAGTCCATGCCTGCCTGAAACACAGCAGGGCCCTGTCAGTTTGCAGGACAGGACCTTGTGACCAGAGAGAGCAGGGACTCCTTGGAAGATCACATTGCCAGCCAGAGGCAGAAGCAGATCCAAAGCCCCTGAAGTCAGTGCTGTCTGCCCCAGGCTGCCTGCTCCTCACCCTGTGTTGGCAGGACCATCTCACACCCTGACAGACACACAAACAAGCCTCCCTGGACACATGCACCACATAGCCACACACCTGCCCTTGTGCATGATTTCTTATCACTCAGGCAGCGTATCTTGATTTATAAACCAGTGCACATTCTCTGTCTGTTTTGTCATCTATGAAAATCCCAGCTGGGCATGGTGCCGCATGCTTGTAATCCCAGCACTGTGGAGGCTGAGGCAAGATTGTTAGGAGTTGGAGGCCAGTCTGGGATATGTAGTGAGTTTAAGGCCAGCATGAAGTAGACAGTGAGACCCTATCTTAAAAAAAAAAAAAAAAATTAAAGGGGCTGGGGAGATGGCTCAGTAGAATAAGCACTTGCCTGGCAAGCACAAGGGCCTGAGTTCAATCCCCAGTTCTGAAAAAAAAAAAAAAAATTAAAAACAAGATGGGGAGATAGTTCAGCGAGCAGTACAGTGCCTGCCTGGCAAGTGCAAGGTCCTCAGTTTGATGCTGGGTACCAAAAAGAAAAAAAAAACAAAAAAACAAAAACAAAAAAAAAACCGAAAAACAAAACTGGAAACAAAGCTTTCAGTTCTCTTAGAGCACAGGCTGGGAGAGAAGTTCAGTGACTGCCACTTGCTCCATGCAGAACTTTCTGAAAGATGAGTTTAGCTGGCAGAAAGTTAGCCTGGGCCTGAGCCATTTGAAGGGAAGCAGCATGACACACAAGGCCCTAGTCCCCCAGCCCTGCAACCTCCCTCCTCCCAAAAGCCTTCAGGACACTGGGAACTCTCAGGACACAGGCAGATCAGGTAACAGACTCTTACTCCTCTTCTTGGTCCTTTTCTCTCGAGATCCCCAGCCAGATTCTTTTCCCTCTCTCTGCCCTTTCTCACCTTCTCCCTGAGGCTCAACCTTTTCCCCTCTTTTCCTTTGACCCTTTTCTTTCCAACTGGGCTTTTCCAGAAAGACCATCCCAGTGCTGCTGACTCCTCACTCCTGCTTTCTTGGGCTGAAGGAAAAATACAATAAACATCCTATGGAGAAGATGCTGTGTGTGTGTCTCTCTGTGTGTGAGTGCACACGCGCGCGCACGCGTGTGTACGTGCGCACACACATGAGCCCACATCCTTTTAGAGTCTTGCACGGCCGCTCCCTGGCCCTAAGTTTGCACCCCAATCCCCTTGGCTCCCAAACCCGCCTCCACCCCAGTCCTGGGAGCTGTCCCCGAGGTACAGCCATCACTCGGAGGCACCCGGTGACACACGCTTGCTTCCTCCTTTTCGAACACCCGGCTCCCAGTCCCCACAACACCAGCTGGCTCCTCGGCTGGGTGGGGGCAGGACACGACAGCCAACAGAGCCGCGTCCTCCTCGCCCCCACCTCGGCGCCCTGCTCGCCCCTCCCCCTGTCGCCGCGGTCCAGCGTCCCTGCCCCGCCCGCAGCCCCCCAGCCCCGAGCCGTCCCGGGTTCCCTAACTCGTGCGCCAGGCCGAGGGCCTTGGGAGGCCGGTCCGGGCGGGGCCTGGCGGCCGGGGCGGTGCGGCTGGGAGCTGAGCGGAGGCCCGGCCGGGGGAGGGAGCAAGGAGCGGGCGGCGGCACTGAGCAGCGCGAAGCCGGCCGGAGTGCACATCGTGCCCGCCGGCCAGCGCAGGGCAGGTAAGGACCCCTGCCCGTTCCGCGCCCCTCTCCTCCCGCCGCCTGCTGTTCCTGCCCCCAAAGGCGAGAGCGCGGCGGGTACGGGGGGAGCACTGCCCGACCTTCCCCTGCACCGCGAAGGGCGAGGGACCCCTTCCCGCCTTGGAACCCCAGCCCCCTCCTTCTTCCCCTCATCTGTCCTTCACCTCCTCTCTGCCCTTCGCAGCCTTCTTGCTTCTGTCCTTCCAACTCCCATCTCTTTCTTCCTGAGCCCACTCGCTGCCCTGGGGGAGGTGGATGGGAAGGGGTGAGCTGCTGTAAAGTCAAGGTGTGGGGGGGGGCTCCTGACCAACTCCCCCCACCTCCTGCATGGCCATTGCCATGGCAACTAGGGTGTTCTAGGCTCCGGAGGGAAAACAAAGGTGGGGGGTGGACTACGACCTCCTGGGGAAGGCAGGGGTCTGTGGTTCCTTCACAGAAGGTAGCCCCTGGCATTGTTGTGCCCATTTTTACCCCATTTGCCCCAGAACCATTCTGCCCATCCTCACAGCCTCTACTGTGTTCAAGGCTTCACCGGTTTTCCTTGTAGCCTCCTCTTCAGGGCTCTCTACAGCTCAGCGTCATTAAGAACCAGACTCCCAAAGAGGGAAACTGAGGCTCTGGGCGGGGGCGGGGGGAACCCAGAGTCTCCTGGTGGGAGACAGCACCCTACTGAACTGTGGATTTTCTTCTCTGTCTCCTGTTCGCGGCTCCCACCTCTGCCCCGCCCCTCCTTCCCCCAAGGCCTCTTTTCCCAGGGCGCCTGAGCATTCCTTCTATTTTCAGATACTACCACTTTGCCCCCTCTTTCTATTCTGCCAAACTCTCCTCCTTCTCCCTAGTTCCCCCTCTTTCCATTTCTGGATGCTTCTGATGTCAGTGGTTTCCCCGCCTTCGGGTTCCCTGCCCCCCGCTTTCGGTCACAGCCTCTTTTCTCCCATTTTCCCGGCTCTCTGGGGAGCCCAGAGTAATCCGTCGGGCTTGGGGAAACGCAGCTGGTCCCAAAGATTCAGGAAGCCTGGGAGATTGACAGGTAGGGAAGGTGGTCAACTTCAAAGCCCAGGGAGACACCAGTCCTGTGGCGCTGGTCAGTCCTTCTGGAGTGGTTCAGGGACATGAAGACAGGGGAGATATTATAAGAAGGAATCTGGGAGCCCCAGGCTAGGGGAGCAGGGCTAAAAGGGATGGGAGATGGGAAGGTAAGAACATCTTTTTCCTGGCAGTTTGGAATCAAAGACACTCTTATCTGTTCAGGGTGCTTGAGTGGCCCTCTAATTAAGGCAGGGAGAAGTGCTGACCCCTGTAATCCTAGAAATTAGTTTTTGTGTGGTTTTTTTTTTTTTTTCAGAACCAGGGCTTGAACTCAGGTCCTTGCGCTTGCCAGGGAAGCGCTTATTCCACTGAGCCATCTCCCTGGCCCCAGCCCTGAAGTTAGTCATTTCAGTAGTTGGAAAGGAAAGATACACCTAGGAGCCAGTTAGAGACCAGGCGAGGCTCAGCCTTTGCACTCCAGCTCCCTGTCTCATCTTTCCTTTTCAGCTGGTCCAGGTGACTAAACCCACCTTCAAATCCTGTGGGCCATCCAGAAGATTCCCTGTCTGATCACAAACCTGAGGGGAGAGACATCTACAAGTCCCAAGTTGGGGACCAGAGCACACCAACCAGTCTCACAGTTGGGAAAGCAGCCAGCTGGCTCCCCCATCCGTTCCAGGGACACTTAAGGAAGAGCCGGTCTCCCCTGCTGGCCCAAGGCTGAGGATCACCTCTGCTGACCCACAGCCTCCTCCCCAGCCCTGGCCCTAGCTGGGTCAGTCATGCCATGCTGAGCAGGAGGGTGGGCCTGGGGCAGCCTGACTGACTACAGGGCGAGGATCGTGGGCATCATGGGGGTGCATGTAAGTGGGGCTCCTGGGTGAGACCTAGCCCCCGCCCCCAGAGTTCAAAGGGGGTGGGGGGTTGAGGCTAGGATGGCTCGGGGTGGGGTAGGGGCAGAGGAGGCCTCACTGCGCTCCAGTGCGTTGTCCTGGCTGGCTTGTGGGCTCCTGGCACTGCTGGCCAACGCCTGGATCATCCTTAGCATCTCGGCTAAACAGCAGAAGCACAAGCCACTGGAGCTGCTGCTCTGCTTCCTGGCGGGCACACACATCCTCATGGCGGCTGTGCCCCTTACCACGTTTGCTGTGGTGCAGCTGCGGCGCCAGGCTTCCTCTGACTACGACTGGAACGAAAGTATCTGCAAGGTCTTTGTGTCTACCTATTACACGCTGGCTCTGGCCACCTGCTTCACAGTCGCCTCACTCTCCTACCATCGCATGTGGATGGTGCGCTGGCCTGTCAACTACCGCCTCAGCAATGCCAAGAAGCAGGCCCTGCATGCTGTCATGGGCATCTGGATGGTCAGCTTCATCCTCTCCACGCTGCCTTCCATTGGCTGGCACAACAATGGAGAGCGCTACTATGCCCGCGGCTGCCAGTTCATAGTCTCCAAGATTGGCCTTGGCTTTGGCGTCTGCTTCAGCCTCCTGCTACTTGGGGGCATTGTCATGGGGCTGGTCTGTGTGGCCATCACTTTCTACCAGACATTGTGGGCCCGGCCCCGGAGGGCTCGGCAGGCCCGGAGAGCGGGGGGCAATGGCAGGGCCAAGGCAGGAGGGCCAGGGGGCTTTGGTACCCATCCAGCTTTTGAGGTGCCAGCTATTGTGGTGGAGGACACCCGAGGGAAGCGGCGGTCCTCACTGGATGGCTCCGAGTCTGCCAAGACATCACTGCAGGTCACCAACTTGGTCAGCGCCATCGTCTTTCTCTATGACTCACTCACAGGGGTGCCCATCTTGGTGAGCCTGGGGTTTCCCTAGCTATTCTCCCTAACATTATCATCTGACCTCCAGCTTCATCAACCATACAGCAGCTCCATTTTTTTCCTCCCGTTCCAGTATATGTCTCCCCCCCATCCAGTGCATGGACGATTCCTCTTCATCATCCATCTTCTGGTTCGCACTCCCCCACCTCTAAGCTCCACCATCTGCCTTCCAGTTTCCATCATCTACCCATCAGTTCCACTACTTGTCCTCCAGATTCATCATTTGCCTCACAGCTCCACTGTTCAAGCTGTCATCCTGGTGCCCAGAACCATCCTCCTTGCCCTCCTTTCCTCTGGATACCATAGTTTGAGTGCTCTTGGGTGGAAAGTGCAGAGGGCTCACCCACCTCCCTATCCTGTCCCTATCCTAGATTTCTATTTCAGTTTCCTGCACCATCTCTATACATCTGTTCTCTCCCCAGATTACAGGGCTCTGTCCTCAGCACTCTCCCCTGACCTTCCTCTGAATCAAACCCAGCCCCACCCCACTTCCATTCCTGTCCTCCCTAGGACAGGCATCCTTCCCACCCAGGGCTGGGCTCTGGGCCCTGACCCGCAGGTCCCTGTCCGCCTCCAGGTGGTGAGCTTCTTCTCCCTGAAGTCTGATTCAGCTCCCCCGTGGATGGTGCTGGCCGTCCTGTGGTGCTCCATGGCACAGACACTGCTGCTGCCCTCCTTCATCTGGTCCTGTGAACGCTACCGTGCCGATGTGCGCACAGTGTGGGAACAGTGCGTGGCTATCATGTCTGAGGAGGACGGCAATGACGGTCAGAGAGGGGACTGGGCTCTGGTGTTCCTAGACTCGTGTCAACTCTGTCCTATCCACAACCCCTCCCCTGAGGTGCTAGGCTGCTCTACAGTGCCCCTGCTGGATGGCACCTGCACTCCCCCAGTTCCCTCTTGCCTGATCAGGCTCATTGCTGCCCACTTGAGGCTTCTGCTAGATGGCTCCCTGTCCTGGCCTGGGCTCCTCTCTAGAAGCCCACAGGCCCAGCTCTGGCCCCCACCAGGCAAGTACCCAGGAACCAGACCCCAGTCATAATGCAGAGAAGGCTGTGGCACTAAAAGGAAGCTAAGCTTCCTGAGAGATCCCAGCTGCAGAGACAGTTCTCAGAGGAGGACAGGTAATTGTTTCAACAAGAAAGTTTGTGTGTTTAAAGCATTAGGCCCTCAGCACTGAGTGCCACAAATGCCAGCCAACCTCTGGGTCCTTTTGTAGCTTACAGATGAATGGGAATGGAAGGGTTTTCTAAGAGCTTAGAAAAGCGTGTTCCCTTCCTGTTACCACTCCACCCTTTGTCTCTTAGATGGGGGCTGTGATGACTACACAGATAGCCGAGTCTGCAAAGTTCGATTTGATGCGAATGGGGCCACAGGGCCGGGGGGCAGGGACCCCACCCAGGTGAAGCTACTGCCTGGTCGGCACATGCTTTTCCCCCCGCTGGAAAGAGTGCACTACTTACAGGTATGGAGACCCAGCCCTCACCCAGCTCCCCATGTCACTTCTGTCAAAGCCCTGTAGCTGCCCCTTATGGCATAGTCTGGGCCTGAAGGGCACCCTAAGGGGCAAGTGAAGGAAAGACAGTCAGAGAGGTTTCCTCAGTCCTCTCAGGGCCAGGTTTGCCCACCAAAGCAAAGGTCTAGAAGTTGAAGAGGGTAGAGCCATCTTGTAGGCCCTCCTTTTGTTCCTGTCACCTCTCCCTTTGTCTCTGTAGCATTTCCAGGTCTTCTCTTTTTAGGTCCCTTTGTCACGCCGTCTGTCCCACGATGAAACCAACATCTTCTCTACTCCTCGAGCACCAGGATCCTTCCTGCACAAGTGGTCATCCTCTGACGACATCCGAGTCCTCCCTTCCCAGAGCTGCGCCCTTGAGGCCCCTCCTGAGTACCTGGGACAGAGACATCGCCTGGAGGACCAGGAGGATGAAGAGGCTGAAGGTGGGGGGCTGGCTAGCCTTCGCCAGTTCCTGGAAAGTGGGGTTCTGGGGTCAGGTGGGGGACCCCCACGGGGTCCTGGCTTTTTCCGGGAGGAGATCACCACCTTCATCGATGAGACGCCTCTGCCTTCTCCAGCAGCCTCTCCGGGACCCTCTCCTCGAAGACCCAGGCCACTGGGTCTCTCACCACGCCGACTCTCCCTGGGGTCCCCTGACAGCAGAGCTGTTGGACTTCCTCTGGGGCTAAGTGCAGGGCGACGCTGTTCCCTGACAGGGAGTGAAGGCAGTGCAAGGGCCTGGGGGAGACCCTGGGGCCCAGGGAATCCCATCTTCCCCCAGCTGACCCTGTGAGCCCAGGTAGGCCCACTGAACTCCAAGGAAAGTGCCAGGTGAGGACATTTGCATTGGGGCTGAGCATAGAGCCACTGCCCCCAGACTGGGGGAGATGGGTAACTAGATCTGGGGCTGAGGAGGCCCTGTTCTTTACCATCCAAGTGACCAGATCCCCTACTGACCCTCCATCATCCCTAGTAAAATGTATTAAAGTCTGAGTGTTGCCATAGAAATCTCAGTGTCCAGCGCGTGGTGGTGGCAAAGGGTGTGGTCAGACTGTGGATGAGTGACTCACAGAGGACAGAACAGGGATGGGGACAGAGGTCCCAGATGACACACTGGAAATCACCACCCACTAGCCTGCAGACACAGTAGAGGGGCTTCCACCCACCTGGTGCTGGGGTGAGCACTGGAGACACCTGAGTTCGAAGGGTCTTTGTTCAGCTTTGTGGTGCTGGCTTTGGGTTGTGGTTCTGTCACTGACACCCCAACCCTCCTGTTTTCTCCCAGTCTATCCAGGACCTCACTTTCTGGGCAGTAAGGTTGTTGGGGTCTGACTTAGCGCCCCAGGTGTAGGTAGATGCACCACACTCCTCTTCCCAGATCCAAGAAAGGAGGGGCACACAGCCCCACGGAGTGCTACAGCATAGGCAGCATAGGCGCAGCGGTCGGTGTCAACAGGTCATCTAGAAGCCCCAGGCCTGCTCCGGTTCCCTCACTTCGACCCTTCTCTAACCCACACTGACCCCACTCGTGTTCATGATCCGGTTCCTCTCCGCAGCGGCTCCCCGACCTCTCTCATCTCTCAGCCGGCCGCCCCCACAGATCCGCCCGCCCCTGCAGGTCTCTCGGCCTCTATTCCTTCTCTTCCTCTCCCTCCTCCTATCCCTTGCCCCTCCGTCCCTCCCCTTTTCCCTTTCCTCTCCCGCCCTCTGGCCCCGTAGTTCCCTCCGCAGGCGGCGGTGGCTCGGGCACTATGCTCCGGCTCCTCCGGCCACTCCTGCTGCTGCTCCTGCTGCCGCCACCCGGGTCCGCCGACCCCCCGGGGCTGACCCCGCTGTCCCCCGGGGCGCTGCCCCAGCCCCCCGACTTGCTCTATGCGGACGGGCTGCGCGCCTACGCCGCCGGGGCTTGGGCGCCCGCCGTGGCGCTGCTCCGGGAGGCGCTACGGAG